GATAGGCTTCCTGGGCACAGAGGAGCTGGAGTGGAGGGGGCTGGGGTCCCTAGAGGGAAAGGGGGAGGGGGCACGGGGACCTCCCTGATTGAGGACATAATTACAGGGGATCTGGCTAAAAGTTTAAGGGCGATCTCTGCCTTGGACTTGAATGATTTCAGCATCAAGCCCTCAAGTTCTCCCACAGCCTTCCAGCTGCCCGGGCTCACGGCTCTCTCTGACTTTTTTTTTTCCCTCTCTTTTTTCTTTCTTTTTCCCACCACTCAAGATGCGACCGTGTACGTTGGGGGCTTGGACGAGAAGGTCAGCGAACCGCTGCTGTGGGAGCTTTTTCTCCAGGCGGGACCGGTGGTCAACACCCACATGCCCAAGGACCGAGTCACAGGCCAGCACCAAGGTGAGATATTTACTGTTCTCTCTCAAAAGCTGCACGGTGAATAAAATCGTTTCACCAGGGACAGTCAGAGAGAGATTGCTGCGGGAAGAGAGGCACGGGACGGATGATCCCTACGGGAGATCATCTTCCTTGCCCTAAGGGGAGCCTTGGGCTCTCTGGTTTTAAATCAGGTGGGGTTGGACGAGCTGTGGGAGGCCGTGGGTCTGCCCTCTCCTACAGCTCTGCCTGGGGGCTTGTTGCAGGCTATGGGTTTGTGGAGTTCCTCAGCGAAGAGGACGCGGATTACGCCATTAAGATCATGAACATGATCAAATTGTACGGGAAACCGATACGAGTGAACAAAGCCTCGGCCCACAACAAAAACCTGGACGTGGGGGCCAACATCTTCATCGGCAACCTGGACCCCGAGATCGACGAGAAGCTCTTGTACGACACCTTCAGCGCCTTCGGGGTCATCCTGCAGACGCCCAAAATCATGCGAGACCCCGACACGGGCAACTCGAAGGGTTACGCCTTCATCAACTTCGCCAGCTTCGATGCCTCGGACGCCGCCATCGAGGCCATGAATGGACAGTACCTCTGCAACAGGCCCATCACCGTTTCCTACGCCTTCAAAAAAGATTCCAAAGGCGAGCGGCACGGCTCGGCTGCCGAACGTCTCCTGGCAGCCCAGAACCCGCTCTCGCAGGCGGATCGGCCCCATCAGCTCTTTGCTGATGCTCCTCCTCCTCCGTCTGTCCCGACTCCTGTTGTCACCTCCTTGGGACCTGGCGTCACCCCTCCAGGTGGGTAAAAATCGTGGCAGGACCCGTCTCTGTGCCGTGATGGTTGATGGGAGGCTGTTGTGTCGGTCCCGGGGGTGTCTGCGTTCTGCCGTGCTTCGTGGGGAGGCTCAGGGCAGCAGCAC